CAGTAACTTCAGTTCATTTTGTTCTCATTTGTTCAGGATATGAGATATCTGTCTCTGAAATGTCTTGCCACCACCACAATACAATAATTAGGAATGGAATTTCACCAATGACAATTGTCATTTAAGGGGAAACTACCAAATTAAAAAATAATTAACCAATAACCGCCCACCTTATCACCTGAATCTCCTCCAACGGCACCATTGTGTTATTTTAAACCAATCATCTTGCAGAGGGGTTGTGTCCACTCATTTGCATTTAAAGTTAGAGACAGAGAATCAGCACTTTTGGAACTGGGCTGTAACATAGGGGTATGAGGCATGCTACGATGCATGACATGTGTGGTATTTCCAGCCAACCACTTCAGAGACATGATTTTTATATATCTGAGACCAATAATATAGTGATGAAAAAAGAGTATAATAGGAGACCTTCAAGTTAATTTGCATTTTATTTCCCTAATCCTAAACTTTTCGGTGAGAAAATGAATAACAGTGAATTCACGCAGAGGCAGAGGGAAAGAAAAAAGTATTAGTTGTATAACACGGTGAAAGAAACATTGTGAAGTCCAAGGAAGAAAGCCTGTGTTTGCAAGTGTGTATACCATAAACAACAAACAAAGCATTGCTGTTTCATTATGGGAAGTAAAGGATCCACCGTTTATGTAGTTTGACATATAAGGAGGGACTAAAGAATAGCATATGATAGTCTCTGCTGTATTCTGTTTTTAATTTGAATATATCTGTGAACTTTTCCCAACTGCACTGGGCGTCCAACATTAAATCCTTGGAAATCATATAAATTCAATAAAATTGGCTCTTCAAGTGTCGTAAAAACAAATTCCTTGGCTGTGCACACTTTTATTGGAAGTACTTTCTACCAAAGAATTTATCCAGACTGTCAACTGTCGCTGGATAGTCACTCTGCTTTACATTTTCTAAAGGTCATTCTTTTCAATTTTCACATCACAAATGAAATTCCACACACCTCGAATGTAGTGCTTTCAAAACTAAAAACCTTGACAATTAAACCCAAAACTATTGAGCTAAATACCACAAGAGTTAAGTGAGAAAATATGTGTTGTATCGTTTGCGTGAACAGACATTTTAGCACCAGGCTGGACTGTAATAAACACTGCAACACTTTGATCAGAGAAGACTGCGCTATTGTCTCCTGCAGTCCTGGTAGCCATATAAACTTACGAAGCGTGACACCATGGAGACCTGAGGTTGTGGTTTCCATTTCAAATAACCAGTCCTGTGTTGTGTTGATTATTAAAACCATCTGGAAAGCAGGTTCATTAGACAAGACTATTTTATGTTTGTTTTTCTTGAAATATATTGTTAATTCATGTTTCTGCTGAATTCTAACAAAAACCCAGCTGTGTGGTTTGTTTTTTCTTGTTGTCTTACTACCGTGTGTTGGCGCTTTCAACAGTGTGAGGGACTGTGGGAAATTAGAGTTATTCGCAGATCTCAACATTTTAAAATATTCTATTATTCTCGTTTTCAGATTTATATTTTATGCCTTTATTGTGATATGTTTACATGCTTTAATGTTCGAAAATATCTTTATTTTTCACATATGTGCTGCAGCACCTCTTTTCACCCTCTGTCTGAAACCAGAGCCCAGTCTGCTCTGATTGGTTAGCTGGCCGGCTCTGTTGTGATTTGTCAACCGCTTAAGGACGTTCCGGGTCTTAGCCATCAAGCGCAATGTGTTGGAGCGCTAACCAATTGAAGCAGTAGTGTTACGTCACTATGTCGCAGAAGTGAACAAAATACTATAATGGAGGCATTACAGGGGGGGGGGGGGGAACTCTTGGATTTTAGCCTTTGCAGAACATTCATAATCCCTTTCAATCTCATCGCTCGAAGCTGCAAAGTGTCATTTTTTTTATGACATACGATGATATGACACAAATCCTTGCACAGATGCCGAATATTATGTTAATCAAACCCTTCTAAAAACATTTCATTACTGTGCACATATATTTTGGTTAAAATTACTATAGCCTATATAAAAATGTCGCCTGACATGTGACTCCAATTAATTTAAATCAGAAAATTAGCACGTCAACGTGCTCAACCTGCTTGTCATCATTAGGCTCATCATTGATTGAGCATGATCAAACTGCATTGTGAAGTCTGTTGGGGGGGGGAATGGAGACCGGTAATTGGATGCAGCTGAGATAAAGATGAGCCATTATATCCAGCAGGTGCAGTCTACAAATGCTGTGGCTACATCAGCAGGAGTGTGGCATCCTCACGCATCGAGACTTGAGCCTGGAAACAAATAAACAGCGGACATCCTCGAGGGAACGTATTTTTATGAGCTCATCATCTGCAGGGACCCGCTGGAATGCCGTTGGAGTTCATCCAACCACAACATGCTTCACTTGTGGTTTGTGACATCTCAAGGATGAAACCGCTCGGGGCTGAATCAAGAGACTTAACAACACACTGCCCGATTCATAAGAATAGCATTCATTCAGGGCGTGCTGGAGTGGGGAGCGAGAGGAAGAATGGTGGGCGGAGGGGAGAGGGACCGGCGTTAACAGGTCGGCTCTGCAGCAAGGGGCAGAAATTCCAGGGCGCACAATGAGCTTTCTTGTTCCCATGGGCTCCTTAATGAAGGGGTGTAGCTGCGTGGGCAGAGGGTGCAGGGTAGGGCTGAGGGAGAGTGCCGACTGATAGACGTGGGAGATGGAGAAGCAGCTCATTTAGAGACAACCCTGCCCTTATCTTCTCCTCATCAGCACAGCCTGCATCTGTCAGCATCCCCACTCCCTCCCTTGACCATTTCTCCTTCCTTTCCCTAATTTCCTACCCATTGTTTTGTTCATTTTTTCTTCCTAACCGCAGCGAGAGAAAGGACACTCAAACGAGCTACTGCCTGGAAATGAAATAATTGATCATTTGAAACTTGATAAGGTTGCAGAGAATGGATGGTTCCTGCCATCCTTCTGGGCTGAGAGTCTACTACACTGCAACGTTGAATTTAATTAAATATATAATGTCAACAGATTGTATTGAGTGTTAAGGAACATTTGTTGAAATAGTACACTTAATTAAAGTCAACTTTTCCGTTTTTTGAGTGTACTTTTGTACTCAAATCCTAAGAAAAATAAATCTGAATAAATCTGAAACACTTTCCAGGCTGAGAAACTCATGCAGGCTCATTCTGGGAAGGAGTTTAAGTCAAGTCAACTGAACAAATGCCTCCGCCAAGACTAAAAATAACAGCCGGAAGAGGCTACACCACGCCTCAGCAGCAGGCGAGTAAATCCGGGTGCCAGGAATATCCCGCGTATACCATCAGAGGGAGGAGAGATGCCAGGCGAGCCGGGCCTGAGGACTGGCAACCCACTCTGGCACAAACACAGGAAGACAGGCACCGGGAATGGAAAGCTGCACCGCAGTCTTCCTCAGTGAAGCTGGGCCCTGTCATCCGCCCGCTGCAATGCTATCAACTCCAATCAGCCAGCACACCATAGAGATTATCCTAAAACCAATGGAGGGTTTAAGCCTTCACAAAATTGGTTTGGCTGATGCGGGCTGAAACCTGAGACAAGTATAGTACAACTGTTTTTATGAATGAGTTATCTGCGATAGTTTTACACATCAGGAACATTACACAGCAACTTTTCACGACAGTTATTCAGCTCAACCAAACCTTATTCCGTTTCAAATATACCACTGTCATGTTCTTCACAGCATGATATCAAAGCTACACCAGACAATTTTGCTTGTCGAGCAGCAACCCCCAACTCAGCCATTTTTAAACAACATTCCCAATTTGTGATTACTTACGTCCAACCAAATCACAGTATCATATATTAGCCACAAGTTGTGCCCAGTCATTCAGGTATTAGTCTCTTCCACAGAGGTCATGCTTTGTCTTGGTTTGTTTGGCAGCAGGACTACGGATAAACCAAAAACTAGAATCAAGCGGGCCAATACACAAATTAGCTTTGACTTTTTTAGGGGAAAAGTACATTAGTGCTGCACTTATGTGGTGTTGGAATGATCATAAAAATGAGAACCAGACTTGGATAATTCATGTGAACACCCTCTCAAGTCAGAAAAGCAAGTTGTCAAAGTATTCTTGAAACACCCTGAATAAAATGCATTACACCACATCTTCTTCGAAGTGTCCATGTCGTTCCTCAAATTAAGTCTTAAAGCTCATGGACACACCAAAGTCGGATAATTATTTCGCTAGTCCGGACAGGGGACCATATTACAAGAACATGTGATAGCACCATTGGCTCTTAGTGCCATTGAAGTTTTATTTTTTTGTTTGACTTATTTCATAAAACTCTTTTCGTAATGCTTGAAATACTCTAGCATAGCCTAGTGGCCTTCAATAACCCAACTCTTGACAATCCACAGGCATAGATTTTCCCTAATTGGGCCAACTTCTTTGTCGGTACAATGAAATTACACAATCTGCTTTGTCAGGCTTAAGGAGAAAAATGTGTTTTTTATGATTTGAGTGTACTAACCATAACAAGAAATCCTTATTGAGCGAGGAAACTGTCTGGATGGGCTATTTATGACATGGTTATTTTTTAACTTCCGATGTAGTTCTTTTTGCAGCTGGAGATTTGTACCTGATCAGATAATATTCCCTTAAAAGTAGGAAGTATTTTGTCTGTAGCAGCTGATCCGTTGTACCATACATCAATTTGCTCACACTTAACAATTCTGTTTTAATGCAACTACTACACTTCTCGAGCAGATTGGGGCCAGTAGGTCAAGAGTGCTCTCAAAGCAACAGTGCGTTTTGCTTAAAGTGATGAGCTATCAAGAATTCAGTGAAGCAAAGAGCAGCAGCCTTAATGTGAACAGTGAAGGGAGTGTTCACCCTGTTCAGGGGTCACTGCAGTGGAACAGCCCATCAGAGAGCCACATCAAAGGCCAGCCAGAAATATTGATGGTTTGGACCCGGGCCGGGAAACTCACAATCTGAGCGCCACGCATAAGGAGGGGAGGAAAGACATTGAAAATAGGCCGGAGTTTACTCTTCCATATCTTCTCTTTATATTATTACAAAACTTTACACAAACAATTGCTAATCTCCACGCTTGAGTGGAACACAGAGGGACAAAACAACACAAAATAAAAAGTATTTCTCATCCAAAAGGCATAAATAATATAAAAGACAAACTTCTTTTTTCTTTAAAACAGATACATTCATATGAAATAATATTTCACTACTACAAAAAATAAATAAGTCATCTGAAGAGTTTTTGTTTGTCTGTTATGAGAGTCTTTCCTCCAATGGGATAGTTTCAGTCTTTGAGCAACCTCTGCTCTTCCATCTGGTTTTGTTTCAGTCTCTTGTAGTCGCTCTCTTTTCACACTTTGCTCGTCCTTTCAAGGTTTTTGTGTCTTTGTCACCGTAACATGCAGTGTCTCTGACTATCCCATGGCTGGTCCTCTTTCTCTGTGATATTTCCAACACTGTCTCTCTGCCAGGTTCCTCTCCGCGCTGCAGGAGATTGTGCTAGTGTATGGGCCGTATTCAGACCTCCTGTGGGCCGGGCTGGATCAGCTCTCCTGCCAGGCTGCTGCTGGAGATCCACCCAGGCTTTTCGTCACAGTCCAAGTCAGGCAGGCCGAGAGACTCCCAGCAGACCACAGGCCCCTCCATGTCCATGCACTCCAGCTCCTCCTCAGCTGCACACAGAGAGAGGGATAGCAGAATGTTTGGTTTAGACTTCATATTAAAAAAGACAAGAACCGATTCTGGAGAGCCCTCAGTGTAATTTGTGGTGACGCTGCATAGTTGGTCTGCATACAACATGAGGATTGGCTATGATATAAAAACCTACTAGTGAGGCATGAAGAAGAACTGTCAAGAGTATGATTTCACAATAGTGTCGAGCCATGACGGACTGGAAGTTAATGTTTACACTTTTACGGGAATGTCTTAAAGAACCTATTCTAGCTTAGCACAGAGACTGCAAGGACGGGGAAACAAGCTAGCCTGGCTCTGTCAAAAGATGTACGCCTTTAAATATCATGAATTAACATGAAACAAGTAAAACATTACATTTAAAAGTTTTCTGAGGTCTCTGCCAGGCAAAGTGACTTTTAAGAGACAACAACAAGAATAGACTTCAGGGAGTTGTGTAAAGCTTTGCCCATCTTTTTGCTAAACTAAACTAGGCTAACTGCCAACAAAGATGTTAGAAGTTGCAGTTTCCCTGAAAGAACATGATATGGACTTTACTTTTTGGAAGTTAAAAATGACACATTGACGTTTTCTGAGGTCTTTGCCAGGCAAAATTACTTCCAAAAGTCAACAAAAAGACAAGAGATTAGAGAGTTTTGTGAATATTTCAAATATTTTTGATCAGGAAGTGGGATTTTGCAGTTTCCTTTCTGCATCTCTGCAGAAAGAAACCACCAGAGGGACAGAAGAAGCAAATAGATAAGCACTTTTTGTAGGCATTTGGTATGAACATGTGTCTCACCAGTGTTGTCTGCTGGACAGTTTTCATTGTTCCCCACCAGACAGCAGGAATGCTGCGAGGGCGAGGACTCGCTGTGCTCGTCTGGCTGGTACCCTGCGTCGGCCCCATGCTCACCAGAGTGCATGTGGCTGTCGGGGCCCTGGCACTGCGAGGAAACCTGGCCCAGAGGCACCATCTCCAGACCGTCCTGCTGGCACGGCGCCATGCGATGCATTACAGGCAGAGTGCCGCTGGAGAAAGTGCCATTGGTCTTGTTGTAACATCTGCTCGGAGACAGAGGGAGATGGAAAGAAAAGGGGTTTGTTTATAAAAGGTGCCCGGCAACTGTCAGCTTCTTCTGCTTCACACAGAAATCTGGTTCTTCCCCTCTGCAGATATCTGTGGGTTTTTTCCGCCAGACATAGAAAACTCTTGTGTTAATAAACCTAACAACTTACGAAATGATGAAGGCTCTCACACAACAGGAGCCCTGTCGAACAGCTGCAACAATCGTTTTTAACAGTTCATCTGGAGATTAAAGGTCTCAGTCTTACTACCTCTAAACGAGTGTGACACATTGTGGTTTTTCTCTCCGGTAATGTTCACAAACGCAGTCAGTTACAGAGCTTCATCATGTTTCCCTGAACTCAGCTTCCCTCTATCGGCACATGATTGGATGTTGACCACACCCCCTCTTTTCCCAGCAGCCAGAGGTAAATAAACACAGGCCTCATTAGGTCTGCTGGCTGGGTGCACACAGGGTAAACTGTGATGCTAGGGACCCTTAAGTACATAAACAGCACTAGCAGGGGGGGAAATGTGTGTGTGTGTGAGAGAGAGAGAGAGAGAGAGAGAGAGAGAGAGAGAGAGAGAGAGAGAGAGAGAGAGAGAGAGAGAGAGAGAGAGAGAGAGACTGTCTGTCTGTCTGTCTGTCTGTCTGTCTGTCTGTCTGTCTGTCTGTCTGTCTGTCTGTCTGTCTGTCTGTCTGGCATTTCCCTGCAACATAATTTTTTGAATGATTTTTACACTGTATTTCTGCACAGTTGCACATCAAGATTAGGCTACACTAATTATATTATTTGTAGGATTTGATTTAAGTGGTGGCTGCGTACGATTGTTTCCGACTTCTGTGATCCAAACATTTCCAATAATTACAGTATTGTAAAGTAAAACAATTCACAACATGTGTTTATGTAACAACATACTCTTCTTAAATCAATATCTGTTTGCACTTTTATTGCAGCCAGAAAACAACGTGCCCTCCAACTTGATGCAGAACATGCCAGGCATGCCCAGGGCATTCTAACCTCACCCGCACCCTCAATTACATTTATTTTAGAACAGAAACAGAAATAGTAAATATAGACTATACATAATTGAATATGACAGCACACATGAGAAGATTTTTTTCTAAAAACCTCAATAGAAGCTCCAAATGTAAAAAATAAATTGGGGCATCCCTACCAGTGATAGTAAAGCCTTGCACGATGCATTAGAATTTGTTATAGTAAGTCAAAGAAGATGATTTATTCAACTACCGTCTCTTCGGGTTGTCTCACAAGTTCTCACGGTTTGGATTCTTGTTTTTGTTATTGATTAATAAACACCAATACATCCCCAGGTTTCTTGAAAAATAAATCCCTGAACGAATTTGTCCCAAATGTTAACGTCAAAGATAAGGGTGTGTATAAAAAGAATTCTTCTCTTACCGGTTATTGTTGCAGAGGTTCTGACAGCTCATACAGTCAGACGACTCTGTTTGGGGAAGAGCGGTGTACATGCCTCCACCCTGACAAGAGAACACACACACTACATTTAACACCATGCCTTGTCTTCTATACTTGTTTATGAATAATGTTTCCAGTCTCTTGGTTTGGAGTACTTTGTGGTGCAGCACTCACATTATGGTGGTGGTGGGGGTGCGAGTGCTCGAAGTCCAGGGTGCTGCGGGGCAGGCTGCCATCATGGCTGTGTTGGTGTCCGGGGGAGAACAGGCTGCCGTTGGGGTGTTTGTGGTGGAGGTGATGGCACCCTTGGGGTAACATGGGGCCGTTGTGCCCGTAGCCCCCGTGGACGCCCCCATTGAGGCGGCTGGAGCCAGGCAGGGTAGTGTACTCCAGGACATGGCCGTTCATCTCTGCAGGCTGGTACAGGTAGCCGGGGGGGTCGTACTCTACAGAGGGGAGAGGATGAATGGTTAGGAGTGAGGTAAGATAAGATATACTTTATTGATCCCAAATTGGGAAATGTTTGCATTGCAACAGCATAAAAACCAAGGCATTGCACATAAGTAGAAATGAAAAAGAGTAGAAATAAACAATTCTAAAATGTAAACATCTCAAAATAGAAATAAAGCAGCATTAAAAAGTAGAAAATATATATATATATATATAATATAAGCTGACCGAGGTACAGACCAGGTTGAAAGAAATGTAATATAAAAATGAAATCTAGTTAAGGGAGTAGTAATAGATATTTTCTTGTTTTTGACCATCTGTTCAAAAACATCCGAGTTAGCCATCTGAGGAGCGACTTTTAGTTAACTGACAGCCTTTTCTTAGCACCCATACTACACTTTTTTATAGAATCCTTTGCCAGATACCTTTTTCTCTATATTGTACATTTGAGACAGTTTCTTCCTTTGCCTGTAGACACACAATAAACACTGCACTTCAAGTGGTACCACCTATTGTGTAGGACGAGACACAGGGTTTGTACAAAACTGTGTTAATATTTGTCGAAAAAAGTAGATGAACAAAATCTCATTGTTTTCACATCAGAGCTGAAACTCTGTTAACAAAATGCCTTTAAGAAACTAATAAAATTCCCCAATTTCTTTAATTCACTCTGATTTGGTGAATTACTACACACAATAAGTCGGAACCTGTGACTCAAACTGTTATCCAAAATCTTAGCACTACAACTCTTTACAGTTCCATAAGGTCCGATAAAGGGTCCGTCCAACAATGGCAAACACTTTAGCAGGAGCTGTGGGATCCATATTTGCACTATGAACACTTGGAATATGCTTCACACGCTGCCTTTGGGCCAACTATCTTTAATATATGAGACACTTCAAATGGAGTTAACTCTTTGTACGTGTTGTGCTGCAAACTCATTTTAAATAATGGCAAAAGTAGTAGTTTTTATTGACCGTCTGAATGGAATTGAATGAAATCTACTTCATCTTAATTTAAGAGGAATGTGGTAATTGTTTTTTATCATCTAAAAAGTGTTCTATTATTAGTCAGAGATTTTACAATGCAATGTCAGAAGAAGAAAAAACACACATAGAACCATACCTCCCATGTCTTAGCATTTGTCAGACTTTTAAGACTTTTAAAGGTTGATTTAAAACTATTTAATACCAATTAAGGCCTTATTTTTAAATACATTAATTCAATGCCTTTTAGGACATTTTAAGGATGCCCTGAGATAGGTGTGTTTTGAAAAGCATCATTCAAAGATCTCACACTGCAAGCAGCTTTTATTATGTAAGCCTGGGGATTTGCTTGTCTGTTCACTCACTGTGCATGTTGTTCTGCTGGCGATTCCTCCACAGACACATGGCGATAAAAGCCAGCAGGATGAGCACCATCACTCCGAGGACACAGCCCACGATCAGGTACAGCAGCCCCCCAGGTGGGGAGGGGGGGTCCGGCGGGTGGGGGTAGGATGGGGTGATGGGGTGCTGGCTGGGCGACCCCGGGGACTGACGCGCTGCAGCGGAGAAGGAGGAGAGGACATGAGGAACAGAAAAATAACACGGTACTGCAACTATAGAATGCAAACCATTGTTGTTGCTCTCACAAAAGTTAGCACATTTACGTTGTGTAATTACGCCACTATTAAACTTACAGCCTTCTCAGAAAACATGCCTGGACTTCTGATAAATTGGAGGTTTCTGTTGAGTCTTTGCTTCTTACCTTTGGTCTCACAGATCATGACGTTGCTGTATTCACTTTCCCCCCCATCATTAAAGCACTGCATCTTGATATCATAGGATGTCTCGGCCTGGAGGTGTCCAATCATGTGCCAGGGTTTCACACCTGAGGAGGGAGGGAGGGAGGGAGGAGAAAATAAAAAAAGGAGGACAAAGGTGAGAAACCACTTCCTCTATGAGCCGGTGTTGACTCACATTGCTCCAGATACTGTGTAAACTCATGATCAGTGTTTCCCTCCTTCTATTCATGTCTCACACTTCAGGTCGTGTTCTTTCATGCCGCTCTGTCATTCAACCCCCCCTTTCTTTACTGCGGACCCCTCTCAGTCCCACGAGGGCTCAGACAGTTGCCTTACTCTAGATGAGCTCCATATATGGCAGCCTCATGTTTGTCCTGGCTTAGTTCCAGTATTCCCACTAAACACACACAGAGACACACACACCAGTGCTCTCACTACACTACTACATTGCTTTGAAATCACAGATGAGGCGACAATTGCCAAGATAGAAATGCACATGTTTTAACATGGCTGATACATGCTGCTGTTCTTGCTGTATTCTGTTTAATAGTATGTGTAAAAGGTCCCTGATGTCAGCTGCTTCTGTCCCAAGGTAGATCTTAACGGTAGTAAGTGGGAACAAAAGGAGAAAGCTGCTGTTAAACTAAATCTACTCTGTGCTGTAAATCAGAGTCAATACAGAAACAGATGTTTGATAGACAAAAGAGCTGCAACAATGCTATTTCTGCTATTCTCTTACATTTAAAAGACCAAATAGTTGATTGAAAGAAAGTCAGCAGGTTAGTCATTGGTTACAGCCCTAACGCAAAAATAAACAACAGCCGTGGGCTCACAAAACGATTTAAAATATGCTATAAAAAAACCATAGCACCAAGATTCAAATGGCTACCAAAAGGAGTTACCTAGAGAAACCTAAACTCAGGTGTCGTATTGCCGCTTAAAATTTGAAAGGGGCCCTATTATGCCTTTTTCCCTTTCCTGTAGTAGAGTGTTATATACTGTAGGTATTTGTGCATGTAAATGGTCGGCAAAGGCTAAAATCCCAAAGTTCCCTCCAGAAGGAGTTTGCCTCCCAGACATCCCCCCCCTCCCTGCCTGAAACGCCTCCTATGTAACACACGCTCTTCTATGGCTAGCGCTTAAACAAATTGTATGTGATAGGCTAAGGGGCGGTACATCTCTACAGTAAGCGGTTGACCAATCACTTCAGAGCCGGCCAGCTAACCAATCAGAGCAGACTAGGCTCTGGTCTCAGACAGAGGGTGAGAAGAGGTGCTGCAGCACAGGCAGTGTGAGAAAAATAAAGAACTTGTTGACATTAAAGCATGGAGACATGTCACAGTAGAGGCACACAATACAAATATGTACCTGGAAATTAGCATAAAAAGGCCCCTTTAAAGAGTTGTGCAGAGTGAATGATGTCCCTCCTCCCCTCCTGTACCAGGCTCCTCTGTTAGCATTCCATGCAGCAACCTGAGCCCCTCTCCTTTGGCCGGGCTCATATTTCAGCTAAGGCAACCATTTATTAAAAACAGATTTCAGAGAGCCCTGCTGCCCTGGGACAGCACTCTCTATAAATCAAACAGCAGTAATGCCCCTCTTCACTACACCCCGCTCTTCACACTGAGTATCCATTACCCTCCCTACTCCGAGTCTGCAGAGCGTGAACACAACATCAGAGACATCGACAAACAATCTACACACGCAGAAAAACAAAGATTCAAATTCCCACTCACCCTCGACCACGTCTCTTTTATAGTCGCTGTCATTGTCGCTGTCCGTGGGCCGGTAGTAAATGTAGAAGCCTTGGATTGGAGTGTTGTTGTTACTTGTGGGACTATACTGCATGAGGATGGAAAAAAAAGATTACGTTAGACTAAAGCAATCTGGTAGGCAATTATTATACAAAAAAAGAGGGATTTTGTTCCGGCGACTAATGGCGGGCTCGTTATCTTGCAGATGTAAAGGACTGCAAGCAAGATTGTAATTGCACTTTCTGTCTAAAGGTTCAGGATATAAATGAGACTGTCTGAGGTTAAGTAAATGTGGGGAACTATCTGCATCCATCTGCCGCCCAAACTGTGGTGCTAAGAAAAAACAGCTTTGAAGAGAGCGCAATCAAAAAGTAGAATGACAGGGCCTCTTTATCTTTGTTAGAGCAGAGCCCGAATCAGCACAGCCGCTCTATTAAAGTCTGATTGAGTCTCCAAAGAACCACAAGCAGCTCAAACACAGGTGAGCCAGCTGGGAAAGACATTTACTAAAGTATTGCTCTTAAAAATCACGTTCTCTTTAGTGTTTCCATTGTATGCTACGTTCTTCTACTCTTCATAATTATTACACCAGAGCTGTAGACCTGACATTTAAGACTTGAGTCAGATTTTTAAAAAGGGAGGAAAAGCATTCACGTCTCGAGTGCTGACCTTGAAAAAAAGAACATAAAAAGCTGGTAGGGAAGCCATGATATTTACTTATATTATACACATTGTATTAGATGTATTTTTTTACCTATGCATTGTAAAATGTGCTACAAAGTTCAACAAAGCAATAAATAAAGACTCTTAAAGGGTGGTAAAACTGGAAAGTACCTACGATACTCTGGCATGTATGGTAAAAAAAAGTTTGCATCAAATCTGACTACTTGTGTTTCTTGCCCTATTTGACTTATTTCTATAATCTATTTCCAAATTAACATGATGAAAACAATGTAGTTTACAGATAGGAATGATACCCAAAGTTATGAAAATAAAGCTGAAGCTGCAAAAAGTGTAAAAAAGGTGTATTAAAAAAAATGCCTTCTTCCACCAGTCTTATAGATGTTGTACTCACAGTCCAGCGCAGCATGATCTGCGTGTCACTGATGGCGTCAGTGGAGGAGATGTGGGGTCCGACTATGGGGCGGTCTGCGATGCGCGGGCTGGCTTGGGGCACCTGGTAAATCTTCGAGGGAATGCTATGGGGACTCTCACCGTACATGTTTATGGCCATGACACGGAACTTATACGAGGAACCTGAGAAAGAAATACAATGATAGGGGCGATGTTAGAGGAGGAGGTGTTACCCTTTAGTGTCTATCAATAAAGTTGATTCAACTATGGTTATACCCAATTCTGCTGTTTGTGTTTCTAATTATTCATTTTAGTCTTATTGCTGAGCTTGTTGAAGGACACTGAAGCGCTCATGACAGGCTTTCATTCTAATTTGTAAACACCCTCTTTGATTTTAGGATATTACAAGTTATTATGGAAGCACTTACAGACAAGAGGGACAGTTTGTGAGTTTAGAAGTTGGGGGAAAAAAGTGTTTTTCTTAGTTAAAAATAAATGTGTAAAACAGGGGAAAGGGTTTTGCTGAAAAATGTAGCTTGCCGCCTGTCAAAATCCATTAACGATACAATAAATGTTTTGCCAAAAGTAAGACATGACAGGTAAAGGACAGTCATTTGAAATGCTTACACACAAAATATGTACTTTGTGTTCAATACAAATTAACCTGGAGGAAAACATAAATGCTTTAAGCCCTATTTAGAAGATAAAAATCAGCCTCTTGTGGCCAAAATGAGTATTACAACAACAAACATTTACAAAAATTAAATCAAATTATTTATTTTTCAATTTAGAAAGATTATCTAGCAAAACCTTGTTTTTTTACGTGTTTGTAAGTGATAAACACAGAACAGAAATTATATAACAGACTTAAAAAAATGGTAACCAGAATTGTTTTTATTGTCCTTTGCCTCTTAGTGCTTCCGTAGGACTACTACCTGAAACTTTTTACACATTTGATGAGTATAATCTTACAAGCTGCAAAAACAAAATGATAGTTGCTTCACCTACTGATTGCATGCTTCAACACTTTTGCCACCAACAAATAAACAAAGAAATAGTCAACTATGTAACTAAATAAGTAAAGTATTAAAGCTCACCAGGCTCCAGATTGCGAACTTCCACAGACAGTTTGAGAGGCGAGATATTATCTGCCGCCACGACCCACTCTGCACTGCGACCACGTCTGTACTCCACCCGGAAGGCTGTGATCGGAGACCCTCCATTGGCTCTCGGGATCCAGGTGACATACACAGAGCTTTCAGTTGCCATAGAGATGGTGGGGCGGTCTGGTGCCTCGGGTACTGGGGGCAGAAAAGAAAGAAGGAATAACCCTGTGAGCAAGGCAAACTTCTGGGAATACAATTAAAAAAACACACAGAGAGAGAATTGGCAACCGTCATCACTGCATCCAGATTCATGTAAAGATGGAACAAGTTCACAGAGACAAAAAACGGAAAAAAAATACGGCATGATGTGAAGGAATGTGTACTTACTGCCTCGGCTCTTAGCCACAAAGTTATAGAGGGCAGGAAAGAGTAAGAGAGAGAAATGAGGGTTAGTGAAAAAGTGAGTTTCAGCAAAGTAGGCCATGCTAGTAAACATGCACACACACATAAACACACATAAACACACATTGGGATTTGACCCTATAACTGTGCAGCTTTCTGCTTGCACCATATTTCATCCAAGTACAGGGTGTCGACTAACGTGTCACTGTTTGTACTCCAAGCACAGAGAAACAAAGCAGACCACATCTGAACATTAAGCTATGAGATTTATTTAACACAGTCCAGTCATGAACTCTATAAAAAAAATCCCCCCAAATTCCCACAATCATTCTCTGCACAGCAGCTGCAGCAACATCACAGCAGACCTACCTCTGTCGTGGATGACGACACCAAAGTGTGTAGGCGTTTTGTCCTCTGCAGCTTTGGGGGGCAGAGAGATAACGGGAGGCTTGGACGGATTCTTGACGACGGTGGGGATCTTCTCTGAGGGAGGAAAAGGAAAAGGAGTAAGGAAAATAAAGCCCAACAGGTCTTCAGGGCTATCAGTTCCACCAAAAGCATATGGAACAGCTCCGGATGTTGGCTCTGAAATCTAAAATGTCCTCCTGGTTTCCGGAGCTGCTCGGGTTTTATCAGGGAGGGTCTCAGGTTTCCGCTCAACAACGCTGCAGTTACACTTAGTTGTTGCTTAGATGAGTGGGTGAATGTTTGTCTGATTTAACAGTTTTAAGGAACAGAAGCTTCATGCTAATCAAATTAAATAGATTGTTAAGTAACAATTAAATTAACAAATTCTGTAGCATCTCAGATGAACTCAGTTATTTGAATCGTTTTTTTGATATTTGAGCGTTTTTTTTTATACATTTAAAATGGCGTAAAAAGCCTTTTTCTACTTTTATTTTTTTTACTGTTTGTAGGCAGAAACATGAATTTGTATCCACTACCATTTTATTTCTGGCAATGTAACGAAGGTTGGGAAACAAGCTTCATCTATGGAGTCACATTTGACAAAGAATACAATAGAACACTATACATTAAAAACTGTTTAGACAAAAAAATGACCTTATTGAGGGGTCAAATATTTCTTAGGGTGTTGCCGTCGAGCTGGATGTATACAGTCTGGTTGGCATTTTGTTTTTGGCCAAGGACGATTCTGTCAAAGAACCAACGTTGGGATGCAATCATATCTGTGGTTTCTGGCAGTCATTTACATATTTCTGACCAGGGAACATTGTGTCAACCCTGCTGTGGTACATTTGTGGTTGTTCTAGATTCTATTTGCCTCAAAAACAAAAAGCGAAAGTCATAGACTACGATTATGATACTAGTCATTATGATTGTGTTTAGGATTAAAAATGTGGTGAACATTTACCTTCATACACAGTTTATGGCTGGATACAACACATTTGTGATCATCCAGCAGTTATTTAGTATCAAGTGTCATTATTTTATGTATTTACCTAGCATCAGCCTTTCTCATCTGTTTCTATTTCAGTTATTAACATCCCTATGGCGACATAAACTGTGAACTAATATCATTGTGCCAGGTGCTGGCGCCAATTGCTAATATGGTTGATAGTTATTTATTGTATTTCCCCTTCCAGCAGTAGAAAATGTTCCTCTTTCTATTGTAGCTGTGTTGGAAAAGTAGCACAGTGGAGTCTTCCAGGGGTAAGTTATTCCCAGGAATACCACAAGAATCAGTAAACAGCCTACCAGGCATATCAATTCACGTTACATTTCTGTTAATTGCTTTAAACAAAGTGTTTTTGTTGACTGACCCTTGCCGGTGCGGAAGGTGAGCATGGCCGGCTGGCCCTCGCCTGCTGAGCTGCGAGCCACCATCAGCACCTCATAGAGACTGGAGGGCTCCAGCTCCGACAGCCGCAGGGTCTTCTCACTGCCAGGGACACGGACTGTGTGCCAGCTCCCCACCACTGTTCCCAAATCATCGACCTGACACACACAAACAGACAAATACAAACACTTGACTAAAATGGAAAATGCCTCCACAGCCTCTGAGTAACGGCAGGGAACGGCCTCAGGAACATCCCTAAGAGATTTATGTCACAATTTCCAACTCCTCCTGCCAACGGAGTCTTAACTCGTATCGCTGCAGTTTTATAGTCAGAGTACTCTTGTTATGACTGAAGTAAACTCTGGATTTATTTTTGCCCATTCTCATTTGGTTTAGGAAGGCTTCAGGGAAACTAAGATCTGTGTTTATGAAGATGGCATAAAGAAGTGAAACATGGCGGTGTGTATTTGTCCCCTCACCTTGCGATATTTTACAAAATAGGCGTTGATTTTATTCCCTCCATCACGCCCCGACCTCCACTCCAGGTCGTAGATGTCGGGCTTGTGGGTCTGAGGTGGGCTGGTGATAATTGGCGCCTCCGGAGTGGGTCGGTTCTCTCTCCTGTCGGCCGGCACGTTGACCGCTTCACCTTCATCCTCGGCCGGGAAGCGCTCGTGGCCCTCGTCGCTCTGCATGGGGTTGAGCGAGGGGGAAGCCTCCAGCAGCACACCGGCAGTGGAGCCCAGCTGTGGATCTGTCATGGAGGGAGAATGAAAGATTATTAACATGTGTGACAATTCCTTGCCGATTTCCCCTTGACTGGAGCGGTTTTTCAGGGTAAACTATTCCCACCTTTGGATAGTCTTTTACAGAGGCTTACATTCATAATGCATTTGACCTTTAACCTCTTATCTCTCTTGTTCAAAAGCAAAAGGTAGATTTCACACATTTCTTTTGTCTAGACAAATTAAACTGGGGAAAAAAAAGCGTTATCCTTTTTGAAGTAACATTTTCAGAAGTCTATAGCATTTTATTAAAGGTTGTCATGCTTCAATGTTCAAAAAGGTATTAATTTAATTTCAGCATATCATACTGTTTTCATATTTGTATAGTCAAATTGTATATTACAGTATATCTATGTCGTACAATAACTCCTTGAGTGTTAAACCTACTGTGCAAAAAATATGATTTCTGATCTTATTTATCTAAAAACTGCAAAACTATACATTGAGCCACAGTATATTGTTGCATTCCTTAATCAAACAGAAACATCATATATAAACAATTTATGATTCAAAAACATTTTAATGTATGTTTTTAATCTTTCACATAATATAACTGTATGCATTAATGCAGTTTTATTAGATTTAGATGTAAGTTGAGCTGAGTTTTGGACACCGTCACTGGAGAAAGCACAATGTTATTAAAGCTGAAGCAATGGCAACAAAGTGACTAAGTCAGACTAACCGAGGTGGCCTACATGTCCACAGAGGACAAGCAGCGCTGGAACATTTTACACTTGGAACAAGCCGTTTAATCTACATAAAATAACAAGAAAAACCTGGATCCTGGCAGCACCGCATAATCACGCTTTGTTTTTTTTTTCATTAAATCTTCGCCCGAGCCAGAGCGGTCCACCTGGGCGAATCATGCGAGCTGCGAGCGTTATTACGGCTGACACCGGTTTGGCAGAGACCGGGTGGAATTTTTCACAGACGTTTGGAGGACACAGCCCACAAGATCATCTGAGCCACGCCACTGAGGTCAAAGAGCACCATAATCAAATTAAAACTCAAACAAGTGAGGAAGGAGGTTAACGCGGCGAGGTTTTGGGTCTAGTTTGGTGCTGTTCACTTTGTTAAACAAACAGGCTCGGAGCTGGTAACACTAGAACTGATCCTGGGATTGTGGCCAGCTGCCACACATTCCGCACGCCAACCATTAAAATACCGGAGAGAATCAGACCCCAGCAATACATCCAGTCCAACCTTCCCTCCCTCTGCCCTCTCCACAGCTCTGACTCATCGCTTAACCAAAGCAGGGGCACCACCATGCAGAAAGAGGCAGTTAAGGCCACACCGCCCGCTCCGTCCTCACGACAAGGAGTGATAAATGTTCGGTAAGTGCTACTACACCTGGACGGGGATACGCTGCCAGCTCCTTCTCGGAAAAAAAAGGTCAGTCCATTACACATGAACACCTGGGAGTAAATGTGATAGTAAATCACAGAGGATTACCAGCACAGACGAGAGCTTCGGTTTGGACAGAGCTCTGCTTATTTGGAGGACAAGTGAATGTGTGTTTTTACATTCCTGACTGACGGCCTGGACGTCACAACAGCTCTTTCCTGGCGATGAGAGGACGGGACCATTATTATTATCATTGACAATTTATCGGTTAATCAATTGGGTTTAGAAAATGTCAGAAAATAGTAAAAAAGCGAACAGTAATGCCCCAAAAAACACTTTATGGGATCAAGATGTACATTTCTTGACATATGCACATAAGCTATTGAAATCTGGCAATGAAAATCTTAAGTCCCAGGCTCCTCCAACAATGCAACATAATATTTACTTAAGACATAAAGGAAATAAAAAAATATTGTCATAATAGAAAATGCAGGAATAAATATGCTATAGATATAAAATCAGTGGTCAAATGATATTGAGTAAATCTCTAAAACAAGGGGCTGGAATCGATGTTGTTTTCCTTACTAATGACATTTTGAATTCATTTTCATGTCATTCAATTAGATCAAGTGATCTCATAATCCTTTCAGCCCTTGTTGTGGCTATAGTTTGGCGGCTAGCTGTGACGTGTGTTAGAAACAAGGACACCACGTCTCCCGACGGATGAAAGAGGGCTGTTGTCATGGTGATGCAAACAAACAGATTTCAGGTTTGCTACTAATAATAACAGAGCACTCGCATCAATGATACTGTTTACACTAAATGCAAAGGGCAGGCGATAAGCGGCCGTGCCTGGTACCTCAAAAACCAGCGAGCCAACCTCACATCTTATCAGCCTGATATTCTGTTTTGTGTACGCTGCAGCAAAGAGATATTAAATCTCATTCTTCTTCCTGTGTGGGTGTTTGGCAGTGAAGCCGCCTGATCCAGTCTGATTTGTCCTCCCTCTGTAGCTGAAAACATTCTGCAGATAGCGGGCCGAGCTGAGGAAAGGGGCCCGGCGTGGAGGGGAGGCATTTGGGTGAGAGTGAGGGGGGAACGTTGTGATGTGTTAATAAATAAAAGGCAGTTGTGTATGATGTTGACAGCCGGGTGGTCTGGTCCTCGTCATAACCCGCCACGGCTACTCCTTTACATTCCAGTGTCCGGGGGCTTATCCCAGACGGCGTGCACAAAGCTCACTCTCAAGCTCAGTTCAAGGCTCAGGAGGAGGGCGGCCTTGGCTAAGCCTCTCCTACCACACACACACACACACACACACACACACACACACACACACACACACACACACACACACACACACACACACACACACGTCACAGTGGGCATTGCGTTTTTTCTGCCGCTGCTCTGTTCCTTCCTCTTTCCGTTGCTGCTTCAGGTTCTGTGTAAAATAATCTCAGTTTTTACAATGCTGTTAGAAATACTGAAATGTCTGAAATGTCCCACCAACAAATAAGATGATGAGGATAAAAGCAGTCAAATATCAGTGTTTTCATTAAGGAAAATATACTATAAGGGCAATGTTGTCTTTGCTTTGTGTTTCAACTATCAGGGGACACAAATGGTTGCCTTACTCCATTTCTTACCCTAAACCTAGTCCTACATTTACCAAGTATTTTAAGGTTTCTTTGTAGCAAGTTAATCGTCACATTAATTTCTAAAAACCTTAGGATATTCTGCAGAAGTTTGGTTCAGTTCACCTGTTTATACTAAAATGGGTTGTTGGTACAACCCATTTTAGTATAAACAGGTGAACTGAACCAAACTTCTGCAGAATATCCTAAGGTTTTTAGAAATTAATGTGACGATTAACTTGCTACAAAGAAANGACTAAAGACTGACTGTGTGTGTGTGTGTGTGTGTGTGTGTGTGTGTGTGTGTGTGTGTGTGTGTGTGTGTGTGTGTGTTGTGTGTGTGTGTGTGTGTGTGCGTGCGTGCGTGCGTGCGTGCGTGCGTGCGTGCGTGCGTGCGCGCGCAACGCAGCTTCCATTCACTTTGAATGGGGTGACGTCACACTTTGCCGAACTGCATTGTGCTTCCGTCGCTTCACTTTGCCTCCGTTGCTCGCTTCAAAAGTTGAGAAAAGTTCAACTTTTCAAGCTTCGACGGAAGCGTCAGCCAATCAAATCATATGCCAGTACAAGCTCTAGCCAATCAAACCGCGTGCTTGTGTGTCCGGGCGGGAGATTGATGTGATTTAATTTTGGTCGAGCTTCAGACACGCCCGCCGGCAATATTCAATGCACGCTGCCGTGTGGACGCTGCGTTACTCTACTCTAATCTCAAGTGATAATATATCTAGTTAGGTACCCAAATGTTAAGTAAGGTAATTTAAAATATTAAAGTTAAATGAGAAAAAGTATGTATTGTACAAGTAAATTATCTATCAATAGATTAAATGATCTGACTATAACGGCCCGTCCACACTACAATTTGCTTACATCTTTGTTCTCTTTTGATAATCAAACAAAACAGATTTAAATGACAAAAAGAATGCAAACAAACAAGTGAAATGAACTAAATTGCTGAATTGCTTTTGATTCACTGGCATGAGCGACAAGTGAGGAGGAGCAAAAAGTGAACAACGAGGGAGAGATTGAACAAAGAGAAAGAGTAGAGGACAGAGAGAGTAATGAACAGGAGGAAGACAGAGAGACTCAAGAAGATGGAAGAGAGGGTGCAGGTTATGGAAAGGAGAGAGACATGGAAAATGAATGTTGACAATGTGTTGTGATCATTTTAGCCTCTTCTGCATGTCCAGATCATTCATAGTAACAATCAACTGATTCTTATTCATTACACTTTCAAAAATAATTGATGCTGCAGCCCACTGACATGGTTTGAAATCAATATTATTCAATGTGTGACCCCCCACAGGACTTAAAAAGCACCTAACTAGATCATGAAAATCCCAAAAATCCCGAACCCCCCTAACATGTTTGGACCTCGGTATTTAGGAAATCCTGGATACGGCCCTGGCTGTGAGGGTTTTCTGCGCGGTTTGGCTTTATGAAGCAGGCACGCAAACGGTTACGTCATGACGCAAACGATGACGCAATGACGCAGCACCAGTCGGACTCTGGGCTGTGTGAAAAGAGCCTGAGCTAAACCGAAGAACCGGTTCTGAACCTGAAAAGCTCTAGCACGGAGCTTGAACCGGAGTTGCGTTGGTGTGAATGAGGTATGTGGGACTCTGTGGGCATCACCGGGAGAAAAACTCAGTGATATTTTAGTGACAGAAATGTAAGTATCACATATCTGTTGAGCATTAGGATGTAGCGGCAATGACGAAGTGAAACACTGGACAAAAGGCCAAAGCAAAAAGCCCCACCACTTTCCTGCATAGAAGCAAGACGCAGACTTTGTGGTTTTGCCTCTTTTTTGTTGTAGATTTGTGTGTCGTTGTCGTCATTTTATGTCTCTTTGTAGTCAATTTGCTTCTCTTTGCGTCCTTTTTGTTTCTCTTTTAAGATCTTTTGCATCTCTTTGCAGTAGATTTGTGTCTCTTTGTGTCCTATTTTGTTTTACTTTCAAGTTGTTTTGCTTCTCTTTGTATTCATTCTGTGTTTCTTTGAAGAAAGAAGAAGATATACTTTATTCATTTCTTTCCCCACTCTGTTGTGTTTACACACATTACACACACAGGGAGGATATACATGCAGAAACATAGAGGATATACATGCACACACACAACCACATGCAGATAGGAGAGGTGGCAGAGAGGCTGCCAGGTACCCGGCGCCAAGGGAGCAGTTTTGAGGTTCGGTGCCTTGCTCAAGGGCACCTCGGCAGTGGCCTTGGAGGTGAACTGGCACCTCTCCAGCTACCAGCTACCAGCTCCCTCCATATTATGTTTTGTGGTCCGATCGGGACGTGAACAAGCGACCCTTCGGTTCCAAGACCAAGTCCCTACACTTTGCATCTCTTTGTAGTCGTTTTATGTTTCTTTGTGGTCATTGTGCATCTCTTTCAGGTTGGTATGTGTTTCTTCAAGTTACATTTTGCAGGTGAAGGCCAAAAGGGCCCCTGACACTTTGGGCTCCTGGGCCTGTGCCCGGTAGGCCCGTTCAGTAATCTATCCATGCTGGCAGCGCTTGGCAGAGTCAACTCAACTTCAGATTGTTTGAAGTCGTCCTGAGAAACAACAGGATCATATGAGCCTAGAGGGGTGAATGTACGGACATATTTCAGCAAGGCGTAATCCTAGATGGTCACAGCCTATGATCTGGATGGAGTGGGTGACATCCATGCGCCAGTACCCATTGTGTCAACGGGCTCTTTGCCACATATTTCGCTGTGCCCCCTGTGTCTTCTGTCTGTCCCTCCATTACTCCATCCCCATAATTACATTCTGCACTTCACTCAGTGAACCCAATCCTTCCTTTGCCTGTCTGCCAATTCCTCAGATGTTCAGGGAGAGCCATGTCATTAGCGTGCTGAGATGTGATGGCCAGAGGATTGACTGTCTGGGTTGTTCTTACTAAGCCGTCTGGTTCAGTCCGACCGTCTCTGTGTCTGTTTTCACAAATAAAATGCAACATGCAAATTAACTAATCTTAAAGACGCTGATTTATTATGCAGGAGTT